TAAATCTTCTAGCAGCAGTATCAAATTCTTGTATTTTTAAGCATATATAAAGTCGTTGTCAAGTTTTTGGCGCCGTTGTCGGGGAGTAAATCTTCTAGCAGCAGTATCAAATTCTTGTATTTTTAAGCATATATAAAGTCGTTGTCAAGTTTTTGGCGCCGTTGTCGGGGAGTAAATCTTCTAGCAGCAGTATCAAATTCTTGTATTTTTAAGCATATATAAAGTCGCTGTCATCTATCTCGATGAATCTCCATTCCAAGAATCTTCTTTGTAGCACCCAAGTCTTTCATGTCAAATTCATGGCTCAATAAAGCTTTCAAACTAAGGACAAGATGCATATTCTTTGCAGCAATCAGTATATTGTCAACATACAATAACAGAAAAATAATAGAACTTTTATCAAGACTCTTGATATAGACGAAACAATCATACTCACATTGTTTGTAGCCAATCTGAATCATGTAGGCGTCAAACCGCTTGTACCATTGTCTTGGAGACTATTTCAACCCATACAATGATTTCTTTAATCTGCAAACCAAATGCTCTTGTCCACGTTGAGTGAACCCTTCTGGCTGCTTCATGTAAATCTGCTCCTCTATATCACCATGTTATTAATGCAAGCACAACTCTGATTGAAGTATGTCTGACCACAGGAGAAAAGATTTCATCATAATCTATCCTCATCTGCTGTGAAAAACCCTTTGTTACTAATCGAGCCTTTAAAATTTTCCCTTCTTTTTCTTATATTGTTGCTTTCCTTTTGTACACCCATTTACACCCAATAGCCTTCTTTCTCTCATGAAGCTAAACTAGCTACCATGTGTGATTTTTCTACAAAGACTCCATCTCTTCAACCATTGCACCAATCCATTTCTCTTTCTCCTAACTGGTGATAGCTCCTTAAAAGTGATTAGATCATCACTACTGATAAGAAGTGCATAAGAGACAAAGTCTTCATAACCTAATCTGCTTGAATGTCTTATATTGGTGCATCTCTGTCTATATCTGGCTAAATTATAATTCTGCAAGTCATCTGTATTGGAATAACCAGGTGTTGGATTTGAACTTTAAACTATCTCAGTTATTTCTGAATGTTGTTCTAAATCCATTTGCATTGTATCTGAACTGGAATTATTCTCTTGCACCTTGTCTTGATACTGCTGCAACGTAAACTTCTCATCAAAAATGACATATCTACTGATTACCATCTTCTTTGCAATCAGATCCCAAAACTTGTATCCTTTCACACCTTTCTTGTAGCCCAGAAATATGCACTTCTTGAATCAAGTTTTGATCTTTCATCACTAGGTACATGCACATAAGCAGGACAACCAAAAATTTGTAAGTGATTAAAATTAACTGCATTACCTGTCCATACCTTTTCTACAAATTTGCCACCCAATGATGCCCGAGGTGATCTATTGATGAGATAGCATGACATATTCATAAACTCTGCCTAGAAACTTTTAGGAAGCTCTGCATTCAGTCTCAAGCATCTTGCCCTTTCAATTAAGGACCTATTCATTTTTTCTGCAACGTCATTCTGCTGTGGTGTCTTACTCACTGAAAAATGCCTCTGAATCCTGTGCTCCTCACAAAATCTCTGAAACTGCGAATCTGTATACGCTGTGCCATTAGTAGACCTCGGATACTTTATCTTTCTGCGAGTCTGGTTTTCCACCTCACCTTTCCACAGCTTGAATTTGGAGAATACTTCAGATTTTTGCTTCAATAAATACACCCAAATTTTCCTGGAGAATTCATAAAAAAAGTTAACATAATATAGAGATCCTCCCAATGACGATTCTCTGGTAGGGCCCTATACATCAGAATGCACCTAATAAAGT